TGAGCAGCCCAAGGCTGGATCTCCAGAGAGTGAGAGTTCTAGGTGTCCGTGAGCAGCCCAAGACTGACAATCAAACCCAAGTCATCCGTAAGAGTAGTTCATACTCTTAACAACTGAGACATTCCTCTAGCTCCGATAAATTTTATTTTTAGGACATATTTTTTATATGCTTATATAAATAGGATGTTCACTGAAATTCAAGACACAAAACACCTCTTCGCTCACACAAAGAGAGACAGTAAGACAAGAGGTATAGAGCTTAGGGCAGCAGTTCTCAACCTGTGGGTCTCCACCCTCACGGGGGTTGCATATCAGATATCCTGCATATCAAATATTTACATTATGATTCACAACAGTAGCAATATTACAGTTAAAAAGTAGCAACAAAATAATTTTATTGTTGGGGGGTCACCATGACATGAGGAACTGTATTAAAGGGCTACAGCATTAGGAAGGTTGAGAACCACTGGCTTAGGGTGGTCAGACAACAAGTGAGGATGGAACTGCCCGACCCAGAGGTCCTCTAGCCCATCCCACCCTGCATTCCCCGAGGCCCACCTCTTACCGAGTTGGTGCCGAGGATCTGCAGGTTCGGCTTCTCTGACTCCAGCAGCTTGGCCACCATTTTAAGGAAGCTTTCCACGAAGAGGTTGATGCTCTGACAGTGGCAGGCCATGAGCAGCTGGTCCAGTGCCTCCATGGCAATACACACGTACCTAAGGACAGAGGCATTATGGCTTCACCTGGTCTTCCCCTCCCCCGCAACACACCTGGCTGGGGCAGAATCTGGGAAAGGAGCTATGTCTGTGGCTCTCAGTGCCTGAGCCACGCTGTGTCTGTGGCTCTCAGTGTCTGAGCCACGCTGTGTCTGTGGGCTCTCAGTGTCTGAGCCACGCTGTGTCTGTGGCTCTCAGTGTCTAACAAAGGTTCACTCCAGTCCAGAACAGAGAATCAGGATGACATAAGAGCTGTAAGGGGTGGGGGACCTTAAAAGTGTTAAGGCTCCCCAGTCCAGTTCATGTGCTATACACATCAAAGGATGACCTCAAGATATATATTTATAAACTCTTGACTTTATCTTAAAAAAAGTTTGGATCAATAAAAAGATTTCCTGGGAGAGATTGCCTGGCCCCATACAGGCCCTAACTGTGTTTCTTGTGGCAGCTGTCCAGCTATAGAAACTGTGTAGTCAAACCACTTGAGCCCCAAGCTACCTTTGTACATCCATACATAAATTAGCAGAATCCATGGTGTCTGTTTTTTAAAACTTTTATTTTATTTATTTATTTTTAAGGATTTATTTGATGTGTTTGAGTGTTTGCCTGTGTGCACGACTGCACCGTGTGTGTCCATCCTTGAAGGCTAGACAAGGGCGTTGGATCCTCATGGAACCGCAATTACAAATGGTCATAAACACCCCTGTGGGTGACAAAGATCAAACTGAACTTCTTTGGAAGAACATCTACTGTTTATCACCTATCAAGCTATTTCTCCAGCCTCAAAATCTGTTTTTAAAAATGGCCATCAGACACCAGTTCTTCAACACCCTTGCATTAACTTCTATGTAAAACAGCCATAAAAAAATAAAAAAATAAAATAAAGACCCTTGGGCTGGAGTGTTGGCTTGTCAGTTAAGAGCACTTGACTGCTTTTCCAGAGGTCCTGAGTTCAATTCCCAGCAAACACATGGTGGCTCACAACCATCTGTAATGGGATCTGATTCATTCTTCTGGCGTGTCTGAAGACAGAGCATTTATATAAAATACATGAATAAATAAATCTTTAAAAAAACCCTCTATACTTTGGAATCTTTTCTACTTTTATAAAATTTATTTCTTTAATCTCTCTGAGCTGAGGTAGCTACTATTAGATCCATGGATTTCACTAAATTCAATTATTATTAAGAAATACTAAGGAAATAGTGGTCTCTGTGTATATTCAAAAATAGATCATGTCATCTTTTTATCTATAATATCCTTATTTTTTTTCTTGAGGGGCTAGGGTGGAACCCAGGGCTTAGCACACACGGTTGAGCACACTACCACTGAGTTATAGCCCCAGCTCTCTGTGGTGGCTTTGGAACACAAAGGTTGCACTGGCTCGTAGAACTCATTGGGTGAATGGGAGCCCTGACTTGGCCTCCCTCCTACACAGGACAGACACACTTGACTCTCCATAACCTTGTCCTCCACACACTGACAATGTGGCAAAGAGGACTCCTCCTACAGCCCTGGCATTCTGCAGAGTTCAAATCACCCAAGATGGAAAAGAAAACTGGCTGGGATCCCTGCCAGAGAGGACAGTCCAGAAGGAGACAGGTCTTCCATGTAGGGACACCTGGACATGGTCAAGTCATTAAACGTGGTAATAAAGTAAGGGTAGGCAAAGAGAAATTCCAGTTTTTCTATGGGTCACGTCAACATTTTTCTACTGACATCGTACTTTTAATAGAGTTGAAATGAAATAAACAAAGGAGGCGGCGTGGTGGCAGAGGTTAGGCAAGAGGAGAAACCAGAAGTCCTCCCAAACCCGGGAGCAGAGACTACAGCCTTCCCAGTGGTGGGAAGGAGAAATCTAGAATACCCTAATAAGAAAAAAACAAGCAAACAAACAAACAGAAAACACCAAACTATTATTAAATAGGAAAAAGAGACTATTGACCAAGACTAGAGATTTTGGTATAAGGTGAAAATCTCAGTAGACTTGACATGGAAATGGAAAGAAATAAAGAAGCATCACGCTTAGTTCCCAAGCATGTACCTTGATGCTACATTCCTGATTCCAGTGCTGAGTGGCATGGGTTTTTGTTTGTTTGTTTGTTTGTTTGTTTTTGGTTTTTTGAGACAGGGTTTCTCTGTGTAGCCCTGGCTGTCCTGGAACTCACTCTGTAGACCAGGCTGGCCTCGAACTCAGAAATCCGCCTGCCTCTGCCTCCCAAGTGCTGGGATTAAAGGCGTACGCCACCACCACCTGGCTGAGTGCCATGGTTTTAATTATGAACTTTAACTCAGACCCAAGTGATGAGCTCAGTGTTTGTCCTGTGTTATCACCAGCTGCCCTCTGTACTGCCTGTCAGACCTCGCTCTTAGTCAGAGCATGGAATTTGGGGGATACTGACCATCAACAGGATTCTCATGACAAGGTTACCATCATCAGGGATCAGATCTGAGTTCTGCCAGGGGTCCAAGGCAATAGTGAGTCTGAGAGTCCAAACTGGCCTGCCTGGGTACTTGGAGCAGAGTGGGTTAGGATGGAGCTGGGCCACGGGGTTAGTACCAGCTGCTGCAGCAAACATCAGCTCCAAACATACTATGCAAGCTTTCCAAAGATGAAGAGGACAGAACACAAGTGAGCTGGAACAGACCAGGAATTGTGAGCATCAGGGGCGGGCACTGGGCAGATTACAAATGGAAGAACTCAGGCACAGTCACATGAACTACAACCACAGAGCAAAATACCCAGGGGGCCTGGTTCCTGGGAGCCAGGTGAAGAGTCTCTCTGTGGAGTCCTTGAAGTGGCTGGCTCTGCTTGGACACCTTGTTCCAGGTCAGAAGTAGCCAGAGAAACCAGGAAAGGCCTGCAGTGCCAGGGGAAGGGTGAGAGGAGTAGCCTGGGAGCCTCACCCACCTGGAGAGGAAATATGGAGCTGGAGTCAGGGACTTAGATCATCCCTCAAAGGGCAGCCAGAACCCTGGACAAAGGGCCTCTTATTCTGGGCATTCTGGGTATATTAGGTCAGCCCATTCTGGAACTGAACTTTCTGAGTTTTCTAAGAACCCAGGAACAGGGAGAGGGTTTCGCCACAGCTAAGGAAGAGCAGGCTGATCCTCTCCATCTAGCAGGGGTCTTCAGTTCACTTTTCTGAAGGGTCAACCTACCCTCCCACCAGCCTCAGGCCCTTCTAGGAAACAATGCTGGATTAGCTTGGGTCAGGGTCCTCAGGTTGGTGCAGCCCACTCTCCTCATTTCCATCCTTACTGCTCATCCCTAGGCTGGGGCAGAACTCCAGGCACTGGGGGTTGGGGGAACAACCCTGATACTGTCTAACATGATATCCTGCACACGGCGGTCCACCCTCGGAGCTCACTGTGGACTGATGCCCGTCTCAGCATTCATTCCCTCCCCTGCTGCCCAGTGCTCAGAGGAGTTGGGCTGATCTGGAGCGGGAAGGAGAGAGGCATAGAAATGCCGAGGTTCTGCTTCTCTGCACATCACTACCCATTCTAGCTTTGAAATCCCCCCATCTTCTCCCTGCTCGCAGCTGGCATCCTTGTGGGGACGGACACTCATGAATCAGGACCCCCAGAAGGCTGTGGCCAAGTGGCAATGCAGGAAGGCAGTGGTCATGAGAGAGTGGCTCTGCCACAAGGACTATATCCAAGGTTCACATGTATAGGACCAAACCATAGAGACACCTGCACCACGCTAGGAAGACAGCTCCTCTCACTGTGATGTGAGAATGTTGCTCTTCCAGGGCCTCCATCAAGGACAAGGAAGAGGCCAGCCATGTTGGGTAGGGAGACACAGGAGGGCAGGGAAAGAAGATCCTAACAGACGTTTCTCCAAATGTTTATGATCAAAGCCCTCCCTCGGGCTTTAAATACCTAGATGCTGCAAGGGCTATTTTTAACAGGATGATGCCAATTTTGACTTGTCATTCCACAGGCAGAGGAAGAATTCCAAGGGACCCTGTCAGCTGTGGACATTTTTAATCACAAGAAACATCACTGCAGAGAGCGAGGGCAGAATCAGTATTAAATGTTTAATGCCATCACTGGCACATTAGCTTTTGGTTCAGTCAAGGATAAAGCCATTTTTACTTGCCTGAATACGTGTTCCAGCACGTCAAGGCTCTTTATATAGCTGCTGCGCACAAAGCATTCATGCTCCTCCTCCTCTTAATGAGTGGCAACCTAATTTTACTGTACAGAGAACGATCATGGAAACGCCAGTTTGCATTTATTTGCACATTGGGGGTAGCCTGGTTTAAGAGTTGCCAGATCTGGGGTAAAGCACATCCTTAATATATACAAAGCCATGATTTGATCCTAATCCTTCTCCCCCATCCCAACATTACTGATGGTCCTTGATTTCTCAACCTTAGGACTGCTCAGCCCGTCTGCCTGTATTGGCTATATAATAGGTGTGGTGGGTGGAGGACATGGCGGTGGTAGACCCTGGAAGTTGAGGAGCCTGGAGGTGACTCTAAAGGAGCATTAGCCTGGGAAAACCAAACAGAAGGTAAACAGTGGGAAGACAAGTCTCTGTTGTCATCTGATCTAACAGTAAAAGGCTGAACCAAAAGAAAGGCAGGACAGGGCTGGGGATGTAGCTCCACTGGCCTAGCACGTATGAAGCCCTGGGTTTGATCTCCAGAACCACCAACTCCTGGTATGCTGGAGCATCCCTGCAACCTTAGCAGGGCAGAGGGGAGAGCAGAGGAGGGTTTAGAAGTTCAAGCTCATTTTTCGCTGTGAGTTAGAAGCCAGCCTTGGATACATGAGATTCTGTTCCCCTTCTCACCCCCACCCCCAATAAAAGAAGGAAAAATTCAAAAAGCACAGGAGAGTGGAGAATGGAAAGGCTCGGGTCGAGTAGGATCCACAGGATTAGAAATGGTGGCTGTCCATCACATACTCAGCCCTCTGCTCCATTATAACACTACCTGTGCTTCTCAGAGTTAGAGAGCTATTTAGCCTATGGATGGTGTTGTGATGGCAAGGCAGCAGCAAGCACAATATGCATTGAAGTCCACTCTTGCATTGTAGAAGTAACTCATGCTCAATAGTTAGTGTTTAGGGAACAGAGATAACACAATGAAACACACAACTCCCCCACCCCTAACTGTGCCAGTCACAGAACAAATACTCTGAATACATCAGCATTTGGCATTTCTAGCCACTGAGATTTGTTGTTACTTTTAAAAAGATGACCTTTAATACTTCATATGTGGATATATTTCCTATTTTTTCTATTTTTAGTATCATTGGATAGGGATCTTATAAACACTATTTCTATTGTGTAGTATCATTTTATCAAATGATATAAATCATAACTTACTTGATTTTTCTCTTGCCAAATGCTTAAGCCACTTGTAGCGTGTCATTGTTATAAGAAGCGCCACACACTAGGCGTGGTGCCCCACACTGTGTTCCAGTATCTATGGGGTGGGGGCAAGAGGATCAAGAGTTCGAGGCCATTCTCAGCTATATCACAGGTTTGAAGGCAGCTGGGGCAACCTGAGCAAAACCAGGGCAGCCTCTTCCAGCATTCTCACAGTTGTTTCTGTCTGTGCGACCCGTGGCTTGACCTTGCTGAGAGCAAGATGTCTTCAGGAAATGCAAAAATTGGATATCCTGCTCCCAACTTCAAAGCCACGGCTGTTATGCCAGATGGACAATTCAAAGATATCAGCCTAAGTGAATACAGAGGAAAATACGTCGTGTTCTTCTTTTACCCTCTTGACTTGACTTTTGTGTGTCCCACGGAGATCGTTGTTTTCAGTGACAGAGCAGAAGAATTTAAGATACTCATCGTCCAAGTGATGAGCTTCTGTGGACTCTCACTTCTGTCATCTGGCGTGGATGAACACACCCAAGAAACATGGAGGATTGAGACCCTTGAACATTCCCTTAATATCAGATCCCAAGCACACCGTCGCTCAGGATTATGGAGTTCTAAAGGCTGACGGGGGTATCTCTTTCAGGGGCCTCCTTATTATTGATGATAAAGGTATCCTTCTCCAGATAACAATAAATGATCTTCCTGTTGGCCGCTCTGTGGATGAGATTAGCCCAGGCCTTCCAGTTCACTGACAAGCATGGTGAAGTGTGCCCAGTTGGCTGAAAACCTGGCAGTGGTACCATCAAGTCTGATGTCCAAAAGAGTAGAGAGTATTTCTCTAAGCAGAAGTGAGGACTGGACTGCTTTTCTGCCAGGCAGCACTGAGCAGCCAGAAGAAAATGCCTTGCACTCTACTCATGCTTAAACACATGATGTGATTCCAGACAAGCCTTTCCTACAGGGCTGGGCGTGGCCAGCCTTTCTTCCACTATTGGTAGAGCTATGCTTTGGGCAGATCATCTTATAGCATCATCATCTTGTATCAGTCACAGAAGCCTGTTAACTCCTTCCTTCCTTCCTTCCTTCCTTCCTTCCTTCCTTCCTTCCTTCCTTCCTTCTTCTTCTTTCTTTCTTTCTTTCTTTCTTTCTTTCTTTCTTTCTTTCTTTCTTTTCTTTCTTTCTGTATTTATCAAATGTGAATTCTGAGTGTGGGGGCAGGGAAGCAAAACCAAACCAACAAACAGAAAACACTGCAAAAAACACCTCTGTAAACAAGGTAGAGCATTAAGACGGGTTCCTTGAGAAGTGACAGTCAGATGGATCAAAGAGCAGATGTGGTTTTGAAGCTCTAGACACATATTTCATGATTGGGAAAATTTAAACCAATTTGTTCTTTTTCCAGGAAAGTCTGAAAATGCCTCCTTTTTGCCACCATTTCCTGGTTAATACTTGAATATTTACTTTTAGAGAAAAGTCAATGTGATAGGATGGTCCAGTGGTTTGGGCATGAACTGTAAGTCTGGTGAATGCCATACAGGTGACCCCGGCTCTCAGAGTGGACCCTTTGTAATCATTTCCCCAGTTGCCCCTCTCCTGACTCCCCCAGACTATTTATTCGATATTACTAACATGTGATCTTGAACCCTTTGTCTTATTTGTTGATGATATTATATTTATCTTTGATGTTCAGTTTTTAAAATTCTGATGGTTTCTCTTTCAACAGCAAGATATTTAAAATTTTAAAGTGAATATTTGTCTTGTTTTGAGATGGACCCTCACCTTTCCTAGGCTAGCCTTGCCATAATACCAAGGCTGATCTCAAACATTCGATCTGCCGGCCTCTACCTCCTGGTGCTAGGGTCACAGGTGTGCTCCACTGTGGCAGTTTACGGGTGGCTTTAGAGATCCAACCCAAGTGGTTCTAGCATGCTGGACCTTCTAGCAACTGTACCAAATTCCCAGCCTCTCTGAAGTGTGTTTTTAGTGGACCGACTACTCCAACCCTGCCTTCTCAGGACGCAGATGGCTCTATCTCATTTTTTCAGTCAGTAGGGGGAGAGGATAAGTACACATTCTGAGTCAGACTGGGTGTATAAGTTCTTCTGTGTGGACACACAGCAATTCCATGGATGCCAAATGGCTACATCCATGGGGCTGGCATACCCTCTTCCCAAATCTGCACAGAGCAATCCAAGTTTACCTGCCTCAGGAGAGTGAACCCTGCCCTGCTTGGTCCCAATCTCGTTTTACTCAGTCTACTGACTAACATACCCAATACCTTTTTATTTTTTTTTGAAATGTTATTATACTGCCATACCCTAAAAATATAACGTAATTTCTGAAAAGCCATCTTGTCCCTCCCTATGTGACTTACCCATATCGATGGCGACCCACGTCTCGGATGAGCCTCTCTGAGAGGTAGGCACCAATTCGATCCAGCTTTTCTGGTGCTGAGAGGGCATAGAAGGTTAGTTTCTCCATGTTGGTCTTCACCAGACCATCCTGTAGAAGACAGACAGCTCAATATCACCATGGCTCCACACTAATGGAAAGGCTCAAGTCTGGAACGAATATCAATTCAACTGGTCCCTCAAAACCTAGCTTGAGAGACCATGGTTTAACCTCTGCACCAGGGCTAGGTGGGTTACATAGTCACCAAGCTAGGAACACTCAAACACATGTGAGGGTCACTGTCCCTAGTTTAACCACAACAGCAAGCTCTAGGTTCCTCGAGAGACTTGTCTCAAAAATAACAATTGAGCATGATAGAGAAAGGTACCAAAAGTAGTCAACTTCTGGCCTTCACACATGCATGGACCGACAAGAGCAGCTGCACATGCACGCACACACATACACCACATACAATAAATAGATAGGTGTGTGTGTGTGTGTGTGGGTGGGTGTGGGTGTAGAAACATACATGAGTGTGTGGATGAAGGATGAGGCATCATTAAAAGTAATTCAGAACCGGGCAGTGGTGGCGCACGCCTTTAATCCCAGCACTTGGGAAGCAGAGGCAGGTGGATTTCTGAGTTCGAGGCCAGCCTGGTCTACAGAGTGAGCCAGGGCTACAGAGAAACCCTGACTCAAAAAACCAAAAAAAAAAAAAAAAAAGTAATTCAGAGGGGGCTGGAGAGATAGTTCAGTGGTTAAGAGAACTGACTGCTCTTCCAGAGGGCCTGAATTCAATTCCCAGCAACCACATGGTGGCTCACAACCATCTGTAATGGGATCTGATACCCTCTTCTGATGTATCTGAAGACAGCTTATAGCATATCATATACAGAAAATAAATAAATAAATATTTTTAAAAAGTAATTCCAAATTAAGGTATATATGGATAGTTATCACCAAGACATACAGAAGGTGACTCTATAGCTTCTAGGAAATTCTCCAGAGGATACTAGAAATGGGATCCTCTAGATCCCCATCCAGAAGAAGTTAGTAATTCTCAAATAGCAAGGCAAATGCATCAAATCCTGACATCATCAGACCTCAATGCATAACACAGTGTGACACAGAGAGAAGCACAGCCAGACACCTGACAGATGCCAGGGAGAGCCAGAGCCAAATGCTAGACAGGGGCATGTTTTTCACTAAACGGCAGGAAAACATTTCTGTCAGGAGAGTGAGCGATGGAGACAGGAGTGAGAAAGATGTCTCATCTGTATAGCAGCAGCCCAGCACATTCCTAACAGCCTCCTGTACATCCAGCCTTCAGAGGGGTCAAGTTTCAAAAAGGCCAAATGACAGAGCCTCTCACCATTCCCAGGGACATGAGGAGTCAGTGCCCGAAGACCTTCCCCAATCAGCAGCCCACGTAGCCCTTAATGTGACCCACCTCAGGATCTTCAGGGAAGATATTGTCCACCAGCCTCTTGTACCTGGGACGAAGGGCGCCGCAACAGCCACATACACCTAGAATGGGAAAAGAAAGACCTAGATGTAAAGCCTTGCTATAAGGTCGCAGACCAGGGATCCAGGGCCTATGAGGAAAGAAACTGGTGAAGGGCCAGGGCCTTGTTCTTCCCGAGGTAGAGGTCTCCTGATAATTCCCACATGCCAAGACAGTGGCCTAGTTCAGGGATAGGGCAGAGTGACACATTCAGGGGAAAAGGCCAGGCCTCAGAAGAACACTTGGAGGGTTAGACCTCATGGGTGTGGAGCTCACGTAGAGACCAGGCACTGCTACCACACTACCATTTATATACCTACCCGCACCCCACCCCCATTTTCTGAGGTCAGACTATAAAACCTCCTCCTGTGACCCAAGAGTCTAGAGCAGCTGTTCTCGACCTTCCTAACACTGTGACCCTTTAGTACAGTCCCTCGTGTTGCGGTGACCCCCAACCATAACATTATTGTCATTGCTACTTCACAACTGTAATTTTGCTACCATTATGAATCGTAATACAAATTTCTGATATGTAGGATATCTGATGTGTGACCCTTATGAGAGGGCCATTTGACCCCGCCTAAACGGGTCATGACCCACAGAGTGAGAACTGTTGGTCTAGAATGTCCTGGGAAGACGAAGATCACGTTCAGGGTGACTGCTCTGCCTGCCCTCACTGGCTCCCAAATCCCTATTTCCTGAGCCTCAGTTTCCTCTAGGGTCCTTTCCCATGCCACTCCCACTTCAGAATGGTCCCAACGCTATGACACATGGACAGGATCATTAACTACGAACAGGAAATGCTTCTTTAAGATCCCTGTCTGTGGTATTTGAAGCGCCTTGGAGATCGGGACCAGTCCCTCCCAGCCCTTTCCTGGTCCAAGGGCTTTTGTCAGTCAGGGGGAATGGAAAAACTAAGAATAGTGTAGCAGGGTTTTACAAAACTACTTTTATTCCATCAAGAAGCCCCAAATGACTCTCTTCAGGATCTCTGAGGCTGAGAAATGATGGTGTTTGGAAATCAACAATAAAACTGGTTAAAAAACAAAACAAAATAAAACAAAACCCTCCAGGTCCAGCATTAGAAACTTAATGGATCAAGGAAATAGAAACTTCTGGAAACTGTCCACTTTAGCCTTCTTCCCGGGCAGGACCTTCCTCTGTCACATCCCAGCTCCTCTGTACTGGGAGAGTGGGGGTGGGTGGGTGGGCAGAAAGTGGATGGGGAAGAGCTTTCACAGAGGAGCCCCGTCAGAGCCTGGGAAAGTCCATCCCCAAAAGAAAACTAAGTGTGCCCCCTCCGTCCACCAATTATAGGTGAATTCTGTTTGTACACGCTCTTTTCTTGAAATGCAAATGTTCGCTGGAAAGATGAGGGGGTCACTGAGAGAAGAATGAACCGCTTTAGTGGGAATTCTGTCACCACACAATGAACTCTAAATGGGGCCAGTGGCGAAGCAGCGAGCACGAGCGTGCTTGGTCTGGGAGTCGGTGGCACGCAGCCAAGAGGAGGAGACAGCCATGGTTTCCGAGCCCGGGCTGATTTGGGTATGTGGGAATAGATGTGGACCTGAAGAAGTGCAGAGTGGCCAGGGGCAGGGTACCAGGGAACTGGTCTGTGAGTCCCACCCCTGCCCCACAAGGAAGCCTTGTGGCCTTCAGCCCCCTCCACCTCGGGCTCCTCTGGCTACCAGACGTTTCCTGGATTTGTCCTGGCTTCCCCTGCCTCCTCCGAGCTTCTTTCTGTGAGAAAGCATTTAGGGAATCTCATCGGCACCCAGGATTATTTCTTACAATTGAATAAATCCCAAAGAGACACATTTCCTCTCTTGGCCCTCAAAGCCCAGGGTTTAAGGCTATAGGCTACACTGTTATCTGTTTGTCTTAGCTCTGTGGACACTTTCTCCAGGTGCCCATGTAGGACATATACCAACTTGTTAAATCCCTGGAACAACTCTATGAAATGAATAGGCACTAAATTTAGTCCTATTTTACAGATAAGTAAACTGAGGCATGAAGAGGTTAAGTGACCTGTCTAGAGATGCACAGTGATAACATATGGCCAACCAGGATTTGGTCCCTCAAAATCTAGCTTCAGAGACCATGGCTTAACCACTGTGCAAGGGCTGGGCAGGTCACACAGTTACCAAGCTAGGAAAACTCAAAGCACACGTGGGAATGGAGGGCGCAAAGACATGGGATCCCGATCGATCAGGAGAGAGTACATGAGCATGGGGTGGAGCCCGAGATGCTGCACATCCACCCATCGCTCGGCAACACTGATGCTCCTGTTGTTAGCCACTCTGCAAAGTGTCAGAGCATGGTGGTTAAGTGACTTAGACCCGAGTCAGAGAGGCCTGGGTTGAAAGCCCAGCTCTTCTGGTTTCTTAGTGTATGACCTTGAGTAACTAATTTAAACCGAATCCACAATACTTCATAGATATATGGTAATGGTTCCCACTTAGGGGACCCAAGAGACACCATGTCTTTTTTTCTTCAACCTCTTAGAAGACACAAAGACCAGGCAAGGCCAGACTGAGGGCTGCTGTGCACAGGCTTTGAGAGTCGTCTGAGTCATCTGAGTAGCAGGTGAGAGTAAAGACCTGATGTGATATGCAGGATGTCAGGGGGATGTCTGGCAGGTAGCTGTGTGGGTGAGCCACGCAAGACTGTGGGGACAAAGGTCTGAGCTGAGTGACTTGTCAAGACAGAACAGGGAGGGCAGACCCAGCAAGATGTGGGTACCTCATAGAAGCAAGAGGGTAAGGTAAGAATGTGGGGTTTTTATATAAACAAAAACCCCAAACATTGTAGTACCTCACGGAACTGGGGAAAACAGAGGTGGCTAGTGGATGGCATCTAGAATGGGCTGCACACAGAAAGGCTAGGGCTGAAGTCCTGGGGGGTCACCTGCCTAGGGAGGGACACTGAAGCCATACTACAGCACTGCAGGAGGTGGTCCTGCTGCTGGGGGTGGGGGTGGGGAGGGAGAAACAAAGAACAGAGCCTGTGATCTCCACCACATTTCCATAAAGCGCGTCACCTTTCTTTCTTTCCTTCCTTATTTCTTGGCCTTTTTCCTCAGGCCTTCCAAACCCAGACACTGGAGCCTTGTTTGGCAAAAGCTAACACTGGTCTCCGGTCAATCTCATTAACAACCCTTGAAAACTAAAATCTCATCTAAGAGATCTAATTAAGCTTTTGAATTCAAAAGCCGTTGGTCTCTAAGAAGCAGTCTTCTGCAATGTGTATGTTTTTGTTTTGTTTTAAAGACTGAAAGGCAAGACATAATCCCATACTGTAGAACCTTCTAGACATTTGTGTGTTAGGGTATTTATGAAGAAACCAGCTCACAGGTGTCTGAAACCTATTCTGTTCTGTTGGGTGCTAGAGTTTTGTTTGTTTTTAAATCTTTGCAGGGTTTAAAATAAGGTAGGGATGTGAAAATAACCTGGTTTAGAGAGGGAGGAAAAGCTCAAAAAAAAGTCAAAGTTTTGTCCGTTGTAAGTTATTCACTGTATTGATAGCCATAGAGCTGTGTAGGCCAGTGCAGCCCAACAGAGGAGTCATCAGGATACGCAGCCCT